CCTTCGACATTCTCTAAATTGTTTATTTGTTAAAGTTTCATCAGAATGTTTGAATCAACAAGATTGTTCCTAGAAACTGAATCCCAGAATTCACCTTGGAGGAAAATTCATCCAACTTTTATTATAAAAAAAACATTTTGGACTTTTGGAAAGTTAGGAAAGGGTAATCACAAAAACAAACTTTATAATCGAATTCGGAAAATATCAATTGATAATGTTGATTATTTTGAAGTTGAAACTCAAAAACCAGGAATCACTTTTTTGATTGATATTAAAAAATATGGTATAATGAAAAAATATACTTGGTATTATCATAAAGTTAGAAACACCTATTATATTAAAACAAAAAATAATCGAAAAAATTTAAGACTTCATCGAATGATTCGTCCTGATTGAAATATGATTGATCATATTAATAGGAATGGTCTTGATAACCGTGAATGTAATCTTCGAGAAACAAATCCTAAATTAAATCGATTAAATTGTAAATTACAAAAAAATAATTCATCAGGCTATAATGGAATTATTTTTAATAAAACACTTAAAGCTTGGCAATTTCATTGGATTGAAAATGAAAATAATAAATGTAAAGTTAAACGGTTTTATGTAAACAAGAATAGAACTAGTGAACAAGCTAAGCAATTAACAATAGATTTTAAATTGGAACATGATAAAGAAACAGGAAATAGAAATGGTTATTCTGTAAACTTTTAGTTTATTTAATAAAATAACATCTATTTATTTTTTTTTAATAACTGCTTTTTCTAATTGATCTGCTTTGCGTTTACCACAAATTTTGTTTCTTAATTTTGCTTCTCTTGTATAATTTGAATCATCAGAATTATATTCACTTAATTGGGAATCGTAGTCTAAATTATCTGATTCAATAGGAGGATTCTCAAGTTCTTGTTTATACTTATATAATTCTTTTACATTTGGATAGTCCTTTAAATAGTTCTTCTTGTATTGAGGAAAGTTTTTTCGCCAATAAACTTTATCGTCTTTGAATAAAATTTCTCCTTCTTTAAAACCTGATTTTTTTGTTTTTTCAATAATTTCATCATCTGAAAGATCAGACCTTCGTAACCCAATATCAAAAACCATGTTTCGAAAATCCTCTTCTGATCCTTTTAAAAAGTGAATTTGAGTAGTTTTATTGTTCCAATTTCCAGTGAATTGGATAACAAAATCCAATCGTCGTTCGAATTGACCCCAATCTGAAATAGACAATTAATATTAAAAATAAATAAATTAAATATTAAAAATGTTTAATATAATAACCTCTATGAACAGTCGTGTTATCTATCACATTTCCATTTCCAAAATTAAATGCTTCTTGCGGAGCTTTTCGGGATGTCATAAAAATATATTTCGCTAAAAAAGGGACAAAACCTTTGTTTTTGATCTCAACACGTTCATCAGTGTCGTTTAATAATTTGACTATATCGTTCCATCCAATTGTAGTATACCATTCATCAAATAAAACAAATTCATGTTTATCGTAGCCATCGAACCAATTACTTCCTGATTTTTGTTTCTGAGGTTTTGAATATAATGAATCACCAAATAACTCTTGCACTAATCCACTTTTTCCAGAGCCGCCAAGTCCAAATAAATAAATACAGCACGGACGCCAAAATCTTTTAATATTTACTTCTCTAATCTCTTTCTCTTTTTTGATCAAATATTCAAGATCTTTCAAACTCCTAAGCCACGATCTCGGTAATAAATTCTTTTTGTTCTCTAATATATCATTTATCGTAAGATTATTTTTGATAATGTGATTGATTCTCTCAATATCCTCTAATCTCTTCTCGTTTAATGTATCATCACTTTTTTTTAATTCAGAAGAAGTTCCTAAATAATGATAAATTCCAAATTCCTAAGGTCCATTCTCAACATTTGATAATTCTGAAGCTTTCCAACGAGCAAGAATGCGTTTTTCTATACAATCTTTAGTACAAACATTACAAATTTTTTCCTTCTCTTGGAAATTGCAACGGCATTTTTTTCGATGTCTCAGATCTTTACATCGGTTCCAAGTCTTTTGAGAGTAATCACGATTCTTATCGGAATCACCATTTAAGTATTTAGGAAAATTCATTGCTTGGTGATTGAATAGTTTTTTTACAGAGGTTATAGTTTGGCGTTTTTCGAATTGGAAATATGCTTGTTCATGAAATTTTCCTGAATCGGTCGATTCATACTAACCAGAAATATATGTAAGTCCGAGTTTTTCTAATATAGCAAATTCCTCTTGTGTCTTTGGTAAAACACATTGATATTTAATGTTGGATTCTTTACAAGCTGAACAAGTAATTTCATTACATTCGTTCAATTTACAGCATTGAGTACATTTTTTATCTTTGCAGCACCGATGAGTTTTAAGACATTTATCATACTGAGGGACTGTTCCAGTATTCGAATACTCTTCCTCACGTTGCTGTTTATCCTTATCAGACAAATTTTTCTTGCATTTAAAATGAGTCAAACAAGGAACACAATAGTAGATAGTAGACATAATGTGTCTAAATCTTTGATCGCGACCCATTTATTTTTTTTATAAAAAAATCAACAAAGGCAACATTTATTCTTTTTATAATTTATTATTTATTAATATTTATTATAAAATTATTTATACAACAATTGTTTAAAATACCGTTTTAGGAAAAATACTATTTAGGAAAATACTATTTAGGAAAATACTATTTAGAAAATATTAGGAATAAAATTAATCAAATCCCTCAAAAGTATAAAATTCGTCCTCAAGAATTTCAGCAGGAAGTTTAAGAGTATCAAAATCAACATCATCTGAATCACTATTCTCAATACCTGAAATCTCATCGTCATCAACAAGAGCCTCTTGGTTATCAAGGCTATCAGTGTTGTCCACTGAAACCTTAGGATCTATATAGAGATCCTCAGCTGAATAAACCTGTTCAGCATAAAGGCTTTCATCAACTCCTCTTGATAGGGAGGAACGAATACTTGGTTCTGATAAACCCATTTGGCATGTTGAAAGCTTGAACTATAGTATGCTTCAAACCATCTGAATTCATCGATTAATTTATCAATAAAGTTATTCTTCTCTTCAATAACTTCTTGTAATCTGCTGATGTTTTGA